CTGAGGGATGGGACAGCCCCGTTCAGGGATGGGGTACAGGGGGGCTCTGCCTGGGGCTGTGGGACAGAGAGACACACGGAAATGCAGGACAGAGGAACAGGAGGGCTTCCAGGACAAAGGTGTCATTCCCAGAAATGTGGGACACTGGGATAGGACAATGCCCAGGGGTGCAGGACAGAGGGACACAGCCATGCCCAGAGGTGCAGGACAGTGGGGTGGTGACATTCCACAAAGTGCAGGACAGAAGGGACAATGCCCAAAGTTTCTAGACAGAGGGACAGGATGACACAGAGAGATGCAGAACAGAGCCGTGCCTAGAGGTGTGGGACAGAGGGATGGTGTCATTCCCAGAATCCAGACAGAGGGACAGGACTGTGGCCAGAGGTGCAGGACAGAGGAATTGTGTCATTCCCAGAGGTGCAGGACAGGGGAACTGTGGCATTCCCAGAGGTACAGGACAGGACAGGACAGTGCCCAGAGGTGCAGGACAGGGGAATTTTGTCATTCCCAGAGGTAAAGGACAGGGGAATTGTGGCATTCCCAGAGGTACAGGACAGGACAGTGCCCAGAAGTGTGGGGCAGGACGACTCTGCCATTTCCAGAAATGCACGACAGAAGGACAGAACAGCATCCAGAGGTGCAGGACAGACACACAGAGCTGTGCCCACCTGGCCCCATCCCACCTACAGGACCATCCCCATCCCCTCCCGTCCCCTCCCATCCCCTGTCACCATCACCAGCGGCACAGCCCCGTCCCGGCTCCCCTCGCCTCCGGTCGATGCGGACCCACGTCCCGCCAGCTCCCGGCTTGTCCGGCCGCCCCCTCCCATCCGCCGCATTCCTCCGGCGCGGGGCCAACGCGCCCAGCAACGGTGGCAGCGCTGGCCTCTAATCCCCGGGCATGCCAGCCCCGGGGGGACCGTCGCCGTCACCCACTCCCTGATAGGTGACCAATGCCCGAGACGAACAATTAGGGACAAAGCGGAGCCGCCGGGGGCTAACGCCGGCCTTCACGGGTGCCTTGTGCGGCATTCGGCGAGTTTAATGAATTGTCCATCAATCCTTTCAGCTCCGCTCGCCCGGGCTGGATTAATCTGAGAAGCCGCAGTGGGGAAGGAGCCGCTAAGCCTGTATTTATTACTCTGCCATTGTAACTAATTGAGGTAATTATCTGTGACTCCAACCCCGCGCAACAATGCCGCATTCAGCGGACCCTTCCCACCGGCTCCTCGCGCGGCCTGGGAGAGGCGGCACCGCGGGCAGGGACACGGGGACGCGGCGGGGACGGTGGGGTGGGGACGGTCAGGGTGTCAGCAGGTGACACCGCGCTGCGGGGACACGGACAGCGCTGCTGGCACGCGTGGGATGTGGCACGGCCGGTGCCAGCTGCACGTGAGGGTCACGGCTCTGTGGGGACACTGCCAACAGCAGCACACATGGACACGGATCTCTGGGGACATCGTTGTCACCAGAGTGTCACCAGTGACACACAAATGTCACAGCTCACTGGGGACACCACCATTACTGGCACATACATGGGCAGGGCTCCTTTGGGACATTGCCAACAGCAGTGACACATGACAGGGCTCCTTTGGGACGTGGCATGGCCGGTGCCAGCTGCATGTGAGGGTCACGGCTCTGTGGGGACAATGCCAATGGCAGAACACACATGGACCCAGATCTTTGGGGATATCGTTGTCACACGAAGGTCACATCTCGCTGGGGACACTGCCAGCACTGGCACATACATGGGCAGGGCTCCTTTGGGACATGGCACGGCCGGTGCCAGCTGCACGTGAGGGTCACAGCTCTGTGGGGACACTGCCAACAGCAGCACACATGGACACGGATCTCTGGGGACATCGTTGTCACCAGAGTGTCACCAGTGACACACGAAGGTCACAGCTCGCTGCACTGGCACATACATGGACAGGGCTCCTTTGGGACATGGCATGGCCTGTGCCAGCTGCACTTGAGGGTCACAGCTCTGCAGGGACACTGCCACACATGGACACAGATCTCTGGGGACACTGCTGTCACACGAAGGTCACAGCTGGCTGGGGACACCGCCAGCACTGGCACATACATGGACAGGGCTGCTTTGGGACATTGCCAACACCAGTGACACATGAGACACGGCTCTCTGGGGACGCCAGCCACCACCAGTGACACACAGGGGTTGTGGCTGTCTGGGGACAGCAGCAGCAGCACAGACACACACATGGGGACAGGCCTGTGGTGACATCGCTGTCACAAGTGACACACAAAGCTCTCAGACACCACCAGCACCCACGACACACGCGGCTCTCTGGGAGCACAGCCAGAGCTTGCACTGCCCTCTGGGGACACCGCGTCACCGGTGACACACGAGGGTCACAGCTCCCTGTGGGGACATCGCCAGCCCCGGTGACACCGCACTGCCCGGCACGGATGTCACACGTGGCTGACGCTTCTTTGGGGACACAGCACCGCTCCGGGGGCAGGCAGGACCCCGGTGCCCCCCGATGCCCCCCGGTGCCCCCGGTGCCCCCCGGTGCCATCGCTCACCGGCTGCGCGGCGACATCTGGCGGCCACACGCGTCCCTCTCCGGGGGCTCCGGTCCCGGAGGGACCCCCCGGTCCCGGGCGTTGTCACCCGCACGGGCTGAGCCCCCGGTGGCCCCGGGGGGACCCCCGAGGCTGCGGCGCGTTCCGGTGCCCCGGGGGTGCCGGGGGAGGCGGCGGCGCCGGCGCAGCCCCAATTAGAGGGTGAAGGTGAATTCCCGGCGGGAGCGGCTCCGGGCAGGAGCTGAGCCCACGGGAAGGGCAGCGCCGCTGCCCCCGCGTCTGGGGCACCCCGCCGGGCACCGCGCCGGGCCGTGACGGGCTGTGCTGGGCCGTGCCAGGCTGGGCTGGGCCGTGCCAGGTTATACCAGCCTGTGCCAAGCTGTGCCAGGCTGTGTTGAGCCGTGCCAGACTATGCCAAGCTGTTTTAGTTTGTGTTGAGGCGTGCCAGGTTATACCAGCCTGTGATGGGCTGTGCCAGGTTATACCAGCCTGTGCTGGGCTGTGCCAGGCTGTTCTGGGCCGTGGCACGTTGTACCAACCTGTTTTAGTTTGTGTTGAGCCGTGCCAGGTTATACCAGGCTGTGCCAAGCTGTGGTAGTTTGTGTTGAGCCGTGCCAGGTTGAACTAGCCTGTGTTGGGCTGTGCCAGGCTGTGCTGAGCCGTGCCAGGCTGTACCAGCCTATGCCAAGCTGTGCCAGCCTGTGCTGGGCCGTGCCAGGCTGTACCAAGCTGTGTTAGTTTGTGTTGAGCCGTGCCAGGCTGTGCTGGGCTGTGCCAGGTTATACCAGCCTGTGCCAAGCTGTGTTAGTTTGTATTGAGCCGTGCCAGGCTGTACCAGCCTATGCCAAGCTGTGCCAGCCTGTGCTGGGCCGTGCCAGGCTGTACCAAGCTGTGTTAGTTTGTGTTGAGCCGTGCCGGGCTGTACCAGCCTGTGCCAAGCTGTGGCAGGCTGTACCAGCCTGTGCCAAGCCGTGCCAAGTCGCAAAGAGCTGTTTCGGTGCTGGTCATGCCGTGCTGTGCTGTGCCAAACTGAGCCATGCCAGGCTGTGCTAAGGTGTGCCAAGTCGTGCCCTGCTGTGATGAGCTGTGCCAAACAGGCTGTGCCAAGCGTTCTGGGCTTTGCCGAGCCGTGCTGAGCTGTGCTGAGCCATGCCAGGTGGCATCAGGCTGTGCCAGGCTCTGCCAGGCTGCACTGAGCTGTTCCGAGCTGTTCCTTGCCATGCCAAGCCGTGCCAAGGCTGCTGAGTTGAGCTTGGCTCTTCTGGGCTTTGCCAAGCCGTGCCAGGCTGCTGTGCCGAGCTGTGCCAGGCTATACCAAGCTGTGCCAGGCCATGCCAAGCTGTGCCAGGCTATACCAAGCTATGCCAAGATGTTCTGGGTCATACCAAGCCACGTTCCAAACTGTGCCAGGCTGTGCCAGGCTGCATCGTGCCGTGACAATCCGCGGCTCACACCACACCTTGCCAACCATCCTATGCCGTGCCAGGCCATGCCAAGCCGTGCCAAGGCTGCTGAGCTGAGCTTGGCTCTTCTGGGCTTTGCCAAGCCATGCCAGGCTGCTGTGCCAGGCTGTACCAGGCTATACCAAGCTGTGCCAGGCTATACCAAGCCGTTCCATGACATGCTGGGTCATACCAACCCACGTTTCAAACCATGCCAGGCTGTGCCAGGCTGCATCGTGCCGTGACAATCCGCGGCTCACACCACACCTTGCCAACCATCCATGCCAAGCCGTGCCAGGTGCCACCACACCGGCTGTAGAACCACCCCTGTGCCACGGGGCGCTGCAATTGCCGTCGTGGCCAGAGCCAGGTGTGGCACTTGGATGCCACCCTGGCCACGCGCCAGCACAGGGGGACACATTGGGGGGGGTGACGCGACCTTGGGGTGCCCCCGCAGCCGCCCGGGGTGGCCCGGCCGCCGCAGCTGCCCCGTGCCGTGACCTCCGCGCCGGTGTCACCGCGGTAATGACAGGGCCGCGCCGGGGGGGCGGGGGAGGAGCCGGTTTTAAATAACGCGCAAATTGGCCACGATGTTTGTGCGGTTTCCTGGGGATCCTCCTCCCTCCCGCCCTCCCCTCCGGCAGTGACTAAGAGAGGTGGCGGCTGTTTGGGGGGGACGGTGACTCACTGGGGGTCCCCCCCCGGCCGTGACGTGGGGCTGCTGGTGGCGCAGGGCCAGCCCTGCTGTGTCACCTGCTCATTATGGGGGGTACGGGGGGGGCTGGCACGTCCTGCCCGTGTTGTGACGCACCGTGGCGGCCGCAGGGACACCCGGGACCTCCGGCTGACCCCGGCACCGTAACGGGACACCGGGAATGTCACGGGGGCGTGCCCGGACACCTGAGTGCTTGCTGGGGGGCACAGAGTGACCTGAAGGGGTGACACCCCCCAACCCGACCTCCCACAAACAGGGACAGAGGCAGCACGGGGGATCCCGGAGCTTTTATTGGGGTCAGCCCGTGGGAACTCCAGCCCTGAGCGCCTGAGAACCACACCCCGCCAAGCCCCGCCCTAACAGTGCCACACCCCGCCAAGCCCCACCCCTCAGGCCGGGGTGGGGCTGGCGGGGCCGGGGGGGGCTCCGGCGCTCTCCAGGCTGCTGCTGCTGCTGCTGTAGGCTCGGGGGTCTCGGCAGAGGCGCTGCCGGGACCCCCCCACGCTGCTCTCGGCGTCCGAGTCCGAGTCGGGCGCCGTGTGCCGGCGGATGCGGGACACGGCTTCCCGCAGTGCCTGCGCGTACAGCACCGGCCGCCGCGGCGGGGGCCGCCCCCGGGCACCCCTGCAGCCCCCCGGGCTGTGCCACGGGCTGCGGGGGCTGCCGGGGGGCTCCCGGGGCGGCGAGGGCGCCGCCGAAGCGCTGCCGACCCCGGCGGGCACCGAAGGGCTGCGAGGAGGGGATGCCCTGGCATAGCGGACCTGCTGGCGCTGCGGGGGTGGCACGTACTGGGCACGGACCACCACGCGGGTAGCATCGATGAGGACGTGGCCCCCCGTTCCCCGCTGCCCCCTCCCGCGCCCCGGTGCCCGCTCCCGGCCGGCTGCTGCCCGTGGCAGCGTCTGGCAGTGCCGGGGGACGGTGCCAGGCCCTGCTGGGGACGGCAGCGTCGCACGGGGCCACCGGTGCTTGGCCTCGGTGGCCGCCCGGGGCAGAGTGTGGCTCCAGGCGCCCGGCACAGCCCCCCGGGCCCGAGGAGGAGCCGCCGGGGGGCTGCGGGGTCCCCGCGGGGGTCGCAGCTGGAGGGTGCGGTGGGGACCGTCATAGGCGGGGGGTGCGATGTAAGGGGGGGGTCCCCCTCGGCGGCCGTGGGCCGCCTGCACCCGCTGCATGTGCACCTCGTACGTGGGGGGGCCCTGCTTGTCCCCCGACACCGCGGGCCGAGGGGTGGGCACGGCGTGACCCCCCCAGGGTCCGCTGCTGCCCCCCGGCCCCTCAAGCTGCGGTGGGGGGCAGGGGGTGGGGGGGACCCGGGGCCGGGCTGTGAAGTCCTGCAGGCGACAAGGGGGGTTGGAGGGCGCTGGGGGCCAAGGGGGGGCCAGCTCGGCCACAAAGCGTTTCTCCAGGTACCTGCAAGACAGAGAGGGGAGTGAGGGCAGCGAGGGAGGGGAGCAGGACGGACCCCCCCAGCCCCAAATGGCGGTCCCCACTCACGCGTACTCCCCGGCGATGCGGCGGTAGGTCCAGGGCGGCTCGGGCCAGCAGCCCGCGGCCATGCCGGCACCACCCGGGCTGCAACACGCCACCGTGTCGATCTCCACCAGCACCAGCTTGGTCCGCTCGCAGATCCGCAGGCGCCCCGCACCACCCCGCTCCGGACCCCCCAGCATCGCCCCGGCCGACAGGGGTGTCCCCGCGGTGGCGGGGGGGGGCTCAGCGGAGCCTCGGCGGTGCCACCGGCCCGCCCGCACGCACCCACCTGCCGCACGTGTGCCCCCGGTGCCCCCGTGTCCCGCCCGGTGCCACCTCGGGCCACGCTGACCCCGGGGGGAGCGGCGCACGGCGGGGACCCCACCGGCCGTCCCAGGGGTGTCGGTGTGTCGCGTGTGTGTGTTTGTGTCCCCCCCCCCTTTCCCTCGCCCCGCGGGATCCCTTCCCCCCCTGCGACAAGCAGGCGATGGCGGGTTTGGCACCGAGCGCTGCAGCCCACGCGGGCTCCGAGCGGAGCTTAGCAACCCTCCGGCGGCGGCATGGCAACCGGCACGGCCCCCCTCCCGAGTCCCCCGGGCCCCCCGGTACCTGCCCGGCGCTCCCCTGGCTCTGCCGGAGCCCGGCCCTGGCACGGACACGGTGCCCGGGCCGGCCGTCCCCTCCCCGCCAGGAATGTGCCTCGCTCAGCACGGCCGGGCCTCGCACCTCCCCTGCGGACACCGGCTGCGAACTGCGCTGTCCCGGCTGCCCGAGCCCCCCCAGGGCGCCCCAACATCCAGCTCAGCCCCCTCAACCTCCCCCAGCCCCTGCCTGACTCCCCCTGCTCACCGCGGTGCCCACCAGAGGGTCCCCATGTCCTGCCGGGTCCCCATGTCCTGCCGGGTTCCTGTCTCTGTCCCATCCCCAATCCCGGCCTTTTAGAAAAGCCACAGGCGTAACAAACAGGGATTTAGGGTCTGGGCGAGCTCAGCAGATTCCCCCTTCCCACAGGGGGGGTCACACCCCCTCCCCACACACCCCCCGTGCCCGGGTCAATGCCCCCCGTGCCCTGCACGAAGCCAGGGTGGTGCCAGGTCTGTGTTTATTCGTGGTTTGTCCTCACACACGAAGCGGTGGCGGGTGTGGGGGGACCTTTGGGAGACCCCCGGGGGGCGTTGGGGGGTCCCTGGGTCTCACCAAACCCAGGGAGAAGGTGGCAGGTGTGGGGGGACCTGGGGGAGACCCCCGGGGGGCTTGGGGGGGTCCCTGGGTCGGGTGGGTCTCACCAAACCCAGGGAGAGGGTACAGGGTGACAGGGACCAGAGGCCACACAGAACAGCCCTGGCATGGCTAAGGGTGACCCCAAAGGGGGGTCAAGGGCTGCCCCCATCACCCCACACAGCTTTGGGGCGCAGGGCACGGCATAGGGGGGGCTGTGGGGTGCCCCCCACCCAGGGAAAGGCAGCAGGGGCTGCCCCAGGGCTGGGGGTTATTGCTGGGTGCTGCTGGTGAGTGGGGGCATCCCCCGGGGCTCCCCACCAGCCCGGGGGGGGGCACAGTGATACAGGAGAAGAGATTTGGGGGGGATTGAGAGGACTGAACCTCCCTCCCACCCCAAAACTGCCTCAGGGGCCCTGGGGGAGCACCAGGGCTTGCAGGATGTCCGAGAGGGAGACGATCCCTTTCACCACATCGCTCTCATCCACCACCACCAGCCGGTGGACCTGGGGAAAGGGGGGACACAGCGAGGTGCTGAGGGGGTGCAGGGACCCCCAGTCTCCCCTCAGAGACCCCCCCAGCAGCCCGGGATTGTTACCTCAGCCTCCACCAGGCGGTTGATGATGGTTTCCAGCGTTTCGTGCTTGTAGCACTTGAGGACGCCCTCGAAGTAGTGGGAGCGGTGCTGCAGCGCCCGCGTCACCGTCACGTCCAGGTTGTTGTAGGTTTTCTCAGCTGCCAGGTTCTGGGGCAGGGACAAACATTGGGGACACATTAGGAGACCCCCAACACCCCACGGTGTCCCCCCCAAACCCAGGATTTCCCCTCATTACAGGATTTCCTCCCCAGCCCAGAATTTTCTCCCCAGCCCAGCATTTCCATCCAGCCCAGGATTTTCCCCCCAGCCCAGGGTTTTACCCCCTAGACCAGGGTTTTCCCCCATTCCAGGATTCCCCCCCATTCCAAGATTTCCCCCCAGCTCAGGATTTTCCATCCAGCCCAGAATTTTTCTCCCCATCCCAGTATTGCCTCCTCCAGCCCAGGATTTTCCCCCCTTTCCCCCAGACCAGGATTTTTCCCCCCATTCTAGGATTTCCCCCCAGCCCAGGATTTTCCCCCCCAGCACAGAATTTCCCCCCATTCCAGGATTTTCCCCCAGCCCAAGATTTCCCCCCAGCCCAGGATTTTCCCCAGATCAGGATTTTCCCCCAATCCAGGATTTCCCCCCCCCATTCCAGAATTTTCCCCCTACCCAGGATTTTCCCCTCCAACCCAGAATTTCTCCCCATTCCAAGATTTTCCCCAGCTCAGGATTTTCCCCCCAATCCAGGATTTTCCCCCATTCCAGGATTTCCCCCCACAGCCCACGATTTTCCTCCCATTCCAGGATTTCCCCCCAGCCCAGGATGTTCCACCATCCCAGGATTTTCTCCCCAGCCCAGAATTCCCTCCCAGCCCAGGATTTCCCCCCCATTTCAGGATTTCCCCCCCATTCCAAAATTTTCCCCCCCAGCCCAGGATTTCCCCCCAGCCCAGGATTTCCATCCATTCCAGGATTTTCCCCCCACCCCAGAATTTCCCCCATTCCAGAATTTTCCAGCACTCACAATAACATCGAATTTGGAGTAGATATCCACCACACGCCCTGGGGAGGGAGAGGAGCAGCTCAGCCAAGCCCAAGGCGCTCAGGAGGGGACACTTGGGGACATCCAGAGCCAGGCCAGGCCATCCTCACCTGACTCATCCACCACGGGCAGGGCAGACACTCGGTGCTGCACGAAGATGCCCAGGGCAACGTAGATGGGAGTGCTGGTGCCAACCACGGCGATGTTCCTGTAGGTGCCAATCTGCAGCTCCTCCAGGGTCCGTGCCATGAACTCGGGCTTGGGCACCTCTGAGATCTGAGGGGACAGGGAGGGGACAGGGCTGAGCCCAGCATTGGGGGGGAAAGGACAAAAAAGTGGGGTGCAGAGCATGGGGGGGTTGTGGGATCTCCAGGTGTGGTGAGGTACCAGGGCTGTGCCCGCCCCCAGCTGGTGGTACCTGGTGTGCAGGGACCTGGCACAGCCCAGGCTGGGGGGTTCAGAGTGAAACCCCAAAGGTTCTGGGGCACATTTTGGCACGGCTTAGATGGGGGGCTCAGGGTAGCACCCGGCACAGGGAGCTGGCACAGCCTGGGCTGGCACTTGGGAATCTCAGGGTAGCACCTGGGCCTGGCACAGCCCAGGATGGGGGTCTCAGAGCAGCCCCTGGCACAGCCTGGGTTGGCACTTTGTACCACCTGGACTGGGAGTACCAGGGTAGCACCTGGGCCTGGCACAGCCTGGGTTGGCACTTTGTACCACCTGGATTGGGAATCTCAGGGTAGCACATGAGCCTGGCACAGCCCAGGATGGGGGTCTCAGGGCAGCCCCTGTCACAGCCCAGGGTGAACATCCTGGGGTAATCCTGGAACGGGCACCGGGCACAGCCCAGGCTGGGGGTCCCAGTGTGGCCCTGGCACAGCCTGGGCTGGCACTTGGTACCACCTGGACTGGGGATCTCAGGGTAGCACCTGGGCCTGGCACAGCCCAGGATGGGGGTCTCAGGGCAGCTCCTGGCACAGCCTGGGTTGGCACTTGGTACCACCTGGACTGGGAGTCCCAGAGTAGCACCTGGAGCTGGCACATCCTGAGTTGGCACTTGGTACAGCCCAGGATGGGAGTCTCAAGGAAGCACCTGGGCCTGGCACAGCCTGGGTTGGCATTTTGTACCACCTGGACTGGGGGTCTCAGAGCAGCCTCTGGCACAGGGAGCTGGCACAGCCTGGGTTGGCACTTGGTACCACCTGGACTGGGAGTCTCAGGGTAGCACCTGGACCTGGCACAGCCTGGGCTGGCACTTGGTACCACCTGGACTGAGGGTCTCAGGGCAGCCCCTGGCACAGCCTGGGCTGGAAGGCTCAGGGCACAGCCCCTGGTACAACCCAGGGTGAACATCCTGGGGTAATCCTGGAATGGGCACCAGGCACAGCCCGGGCTGGGGGTCCCAGTGTGGCCCTGGCACAGGGAGCTGGCACAGCCTGGGCTGGCATTTTGCACCACCTGGATTGGGGGTCTCAGGGTAGCACCTGGACCTGGCACATCCCAGGACCAGGGTCTCAGAGGAGCCCCTGGCACATCCTGGGTTGGCATTCTGTACCACCTGAACTGGGGGTCTCAGGGCAGCACCTGAGCCTGGCACAGCCCAGGCTTCGGGTCTCAGGACACAGCCCCTGGCACAGCCCAGGGTGAACATCCTGGGTAATCCCGGAATGGGCACCAGGCACAGCCCAGGCTGGGGGTCCCAGTGTGGCCCTGGCACAGGGAGCTGGCACAGCCTGGTCTGGCACTTGGTACAGCCTGGACTGCGAGTTCCAGAGTAGTACCTGGACCTGGCACAGCCCAGGATGGGGGTCTCAGAGCAGCCCCTGGCACAGGCACCTGGCACAGCCCGGGCTGGGGGTGCCAGTGTGACCCTGGCACATCCCAGACCGAGGGTCCTGGTCTGACCCCACCCTCCCCAAGGGGCAGAGACTCACAAAGAGCTTGAGGAACTTGAGGATGCGTTTGTGGGTGAGGATGTAGAGCGTGTTCCCCGAGTCGGGGTCGATGACGGGCAGCCGGTGGATCTTGTTCCGGATCAGGGAGGAGACGGCGTCAAACAGGCTGTGGGGGGCAAGGCAGGGGGGATTTGGGGTGTCCCTGGCACTGCCACCACCGGCTGTGCCCCTCTCCCTGCCCCCCGGGCTACCTGGCATTGGGGGAAATGCACACCAGCGGCTTGAAGGAGTCTTGCAGGTAAACCTCTGTGGGGAGAGGGGTGGGTGAGGGCATGGGGGGGTGGGACACCCCAGGAAGGGCAGCAGTGACCCCCCCCTCACCTCTCCACGTCTCTATTTTATGTTCCTCCAGCTCGTAGATCTGCACCTGTGAGGAGGAGGAGGAGGAGGAGGAAGCTCAGATGGGACAGCCAAAACCCAACCCGAGCCCCCCCCAGACCCCAGCCCTCACCATGGGGGATTTGTAGTAGCGGTGCAGGATGTTGATGAAGTCGGTGATGGTCAGCATTCCTGGGGGGCAGGCAGGGTGAGGAGGGTCCTGCCAGCCCCCCAAAACCCCCAGAGACCCCCCCCAAAACCCCCGAGACCCCCCCAGACCCCTTTGCTCACCTACAAAACTTTGCTTTTTGCTGT